GTACTTCCTTAATAACAACCAGGTCCTTTTGTTCTCGCAAGAATTCCACGAGTTCCTTCGTCCCCCAATTTTTTGATCCGTTCGCTCGCCATGTTTGTAGAGAGAGAGGTTTGGGAGAAAAAAAAAAAATTTTTTTTTGCGAGGTTATCATGAATCTTATAGAAATAATTTTGAGATGACATTTTCAAGGGTAAACGTAACCAATTCATGCGGAATTGGGCACGCGGTGTATATCATTTAGTTTTGAGATGGGGTAAACGTAACCATTCATGCGAAATTGAGCCACTAATATCGATATTATAAAAGGGCTTCGTTCATACGATTACGTGATATAATTACACAACCTTTAAAATTCAAAGACAAAGGCCATGAGTTTGCATTATTAATTTCCCTATTGATTGATACGCTATTCCGAGTGATTACCAAGATAACGGATAATCATATTTATACAGTAAAACGAATTTACTTTATTGCTCGCTACGCGTTGTCTCAAAGCAAATGTCGGAATTTCGGAGAAGCTATTATTATTACATGAAGATAAAATACATATTTGTGGATGTGTGTGATAAATTTATGACTATGCAAATCCGAATCTCTAACAGAAAAACGAAAAGATATGCTTGCTCATCGTGATACGGAATTTGAAACTATCCTATCATACTCATACAGGCGAATTAAAACTCTGTTTGGAGTAAGGCGATTTTCGCGTCCAATCACAATACGCCAAAGGAAATCCATCATCATCGAGCGATATGCGATACTTCTAATTTTTCAAAATGTCTTCTCGCAACACTAATATTCTTCTTTGTCGCGGAAGGTTCTAAATGGTGGTAGATGTGTTGATCGTCAAATCTTTTTTGAGATGTGATAAGAAACAAGTCGTATAAATTCCCACATACCAATACTCGGGTCTGACATAATCACCATAACGTAGATATTATTGGTGAGAACATCAATGAAAGCATCAAAGTCCGCCTGTCGAATTTCCATACTTTTGAATTGCGCTTGCGCTTTACTAAAGGAACGATAAGGAATGATGAGATTTTCGATTTTCTTATGTAATAGGAATACATTATACATACATAAATACATACATACATACATACATATATATATATATATATATACAGTATATACATAAACATGTACATATACATATACATATACATATACATGTACATATATATACATTGAAAGTTATGCACAATTTCCTAAAATGACACACTCATCTAGAATGATGTGATTAGAAGGTGAATATACAATAAAACGAAGCTCAGATATTCTTAGGCGGGTTTGTTATTTAGGAAGCCGTGTTATTCTACCTTGGATTAGAGTTTAAAAGCAAACTCACGTGCAGCTCATCTTGAATTGTTTCATGTAATTACTGATCTTCTCAAACCTGTGAGCATCGCGATTTTCTATCCGCGTGGAGTGAGAGATAACCAAAAACGTGGTTCGTTCAAACAGCACAACCTCATCAGCTTCACAAATAGTTGCGAAATTCTGGAGGTGAGACTCGAGCAATCTCACATTTGGAACCAGGGAATGAACTATGGATGACCAAGCCTAAGGTTCAGTTGGAAATTGTTATTAAGCGCAAAGATGGATGCTGCACAAAATTCCTTGTTACTAACTCTATAAAGGGACTCGTCCCATATTGACGTGGCGAATCCAGTAATTTCCAGGGGTAAAGATCGGGTGATTAACTCATTGATCCTTTCGGAAAATACCTGCAAGTTTTTTTCAATGTGAAATTCTACCATCAATCCGATCAACTACAAAAAATTGTAAACTTACTTGCGTTCTCCGCTCGTCTTCCACCAAGTCCATCTTGTGTATAAGACAAAAAATTTTGGCTTCCCTCGAGTTCGCGAGTATCGCTTCAAGACAAGACTGATAATAATGCATGTCTCGCTCGACCTCTCTGGATTCGACGTCAAATACGTAGATAAGCACTTCGACGTTGCGGAAAATTTGATCGCGTTGGGATGCAAAATAATTTTCCATGAATGTCTCTTGACTAAATTCAAAGATAGATAAGTTAACAACAAGAGTTCTTGACCTAAGAAACTCGGCTTGACACTGACCCGCCGCAATCCCATAGATTTAGAACCAAGTTGCCAAGGAATCTAACCCGAGAATTCTCAACATCAACTATTAAAAAAAAAATAAGTTTTAGAATTCTTTTGTAAAGAAACGCATCTCATACGCAACTGGTTGCACCGAGACGGCGTGTATCTTTAGCGATATAATTGTGGAATATAATGCTTCGCATGGAGGTCTTTCCAGACCCACTTTTTCCCATTAAAAGGACCTGGTTGTTATTAAGGAAGTACAGTTAACCATAACTTTTTTTTTTTTTTTTTTTGCAGTGCATCTTCCGAATTTATTAAATAATAATAACCCAACATACCTTTTTGCTCATATTGAGAAGGGCGATAGTGGTACGGGTGGGTACATAGAAGCCAAGTCAGCTTATTGATTCTAGCAATTGACCAATGATTGGCGGCATATATAAACTCGGATTGGTGAATGCATATCCGCTACGTATTGTCTTGTGAATATTATTGTGCACATAATAAAACAACGAAACATTTCTGTTCAAAATGTTCTTATAGTAAGAAGGATTATGTATCAGACACATATCTCCCTCCCTCCCGACGACGATAACGATAACTTATCAATTACCAAGCTGCATACTGACCCTTCTTTTCTCGTAATCGAACAATGCCCACTTCCTTAACACATTCCTCATCTTCCCCTACAAAATATCACAAGCTCGTCGGTCGTCGCTCGCTTCCTCATTTCACGTCCAAATATTTTGATCGTTTCGAGCGACTACTTCTTGTTTCCGCGAGTAGTCACTTTAAACTTACCGCGAACGCGTGGTATCGAACTCACGGTTATCAACCACCTCTCGACATTTGGTTAGTTTTTTTGTGGACCATTATAATTACTCTTACCACCGGATACTTTGGCTTTTCCCTCAAGTTTATAGTGGAAAACGAAAAGTATAATCACGAGCAAGCCCCCTTGAATGAAGATGGCGCGACATCCGACGCGCAGAGATGGAAACTAACATGGGGTATCCTGGGGTTTCTGGCTATTTCTGTGGTGGTCCTCACTGGTGTAAAAGTTTCATTGACCGATACGACGGACAAAAGAGTGGCGAGGGAAGACACGGAGAGAAACGTGGCCTACGTGAGAACAAAAGGGATACCAGTTGTCGTGGATGGTTGGTGTGGTATTTGTAGGTCTAAGGTGTATGTAAATGTAATGAACGCGTAATGTTATGTCATTTCCTTGCTCTCTCGCTAACCTATACGTGATCGTCCACAGGAGATGGGGAACAAGACATTGTAAGTTTTGTAATAAGGTAAGGTAATGAATGAATGTGTGGATTGGCGGTTGCGTGCGTCCCGCTTTCTTTA